CTTATTTGGAAATAAGGCCTTTACATAGGTAAATCAAGTTAAAATGAGGTTATCAGGGTGAGCTCTAATCCAACAAGACTAGTGTCCTTATAAAAGGGGGAAATTTGGGGCTTCCCTGGTGGCGCAGTGGTTGAGAGTCCGCCTGCCGATGCAGGGGACACGGGTTCGTGCCCCAGTCCGGGAGGATCCCACATGCCGCGGAGCAGCTGGGTCCGTGAGCCATGGCCGCTGAGCCTGCGTGTCCGGAGCCTGTGCTCCGCAGCGGGAGAGGCCGCAATGGTGAGAGGCCCGCGTACCGCAAAAAAAAAAAAAAAAGGGGGAAATTTGGACACAGAGACAGACACACAGAGAGGGAAGACAAAGAATCGGAGAGATGCATCTACAAGCCAAGGAACGCCAAAGATTGCCAGCAAACCTCCAGAACCTAAGAAGAGGCAAGGAAAACTTCTTCCCCTGCCGGGGTCCCCAGCTACACCCCCGCCCCCCGCCCCATACCAGTCTGAGGCCTATTAGGAACCAGGCTGCGCAGCAGGAAGTGAGGGGTGGGCAAGTGAGCGAAGCTTCATCTGCCGCTCCTCATTGCTTGCATCACCACCTGAACCATGCCCCCTGACCATGCAAAAATTGTCTTCCACGAAACCAGTCCCTGGTGCCAGAAAGGTTGGGGACTGCTAGCCTACAGGCCTCAGAGGGAGCACGGCCTGCCTACAGCTTGGTTTCAGACTGCTAACCTCCAGAACTGTGAGACGATACAGTCTCAAGCCACTCAGTTCATGGTACTTTGTTATGGCAGCCCTAGAAGACTAATGCAGCCAGTAAATAGCTGTTGGATGAAAAAATGGTGCTTCTGGTGAGACACGGCATCTCTTCACCAGCAGAGGAGGACGTATGTGTCCAGAGAGGTGACGGGGAAGGTGCCTCTCCTACTCTGCAGTGGGTGGGGAGCAGCAGTGGACAGAATAAGGCAGAATTGAACCTGAGTAGTCCAATGCCAGAGTCTGTGCTCTTCACCTCTGCACTGGAGAAGCCCAGCTGGCCCTAGAGAACCCTCCTTGCCCAGCCTCCTAGTGGCCTCCTCCCTCCCTACCTCTGCTCTGGGTAAGCAAGGAAAAATGGGACAGGAGATAATCAAGAAGGCACTAAAAAGGGAAGCAAGGTTAGCATATGATCCTGAAACTTCAGGCAGACTCATACACAACACTTGCTCACAGATGGATGCCAGTAGCAGGAGGCCGGGTAATCCCCAGTCCAGAGCTCCCACCCCACCCCCGCCCAGATGGGGCAGAATCGTCATCGCACACAAACCACAAGTGGTTGTGCTGCTGTGGCCATGAGGCAATGATTCTTTGCCAGGCAGAATTTCAGAATCTGATTGCTGGAGGGGCCCTCAGTGTGTTTTCTGGTCTCACTTCCTGCCTTTCCTCATGAGCCCCGGCACATCCAGTGATGGAGGCTGCGAGTCTCCAGGGACAGTTTGGACCCTCCACTGATTGGCGGAAATTCCTCCTTGCTCTTTAACCTGAGCTCCGCCCATCCCCTGGTCTGCCCTTCAAGGCTCCCCAAACACCCTGACACCCTGACTCACTGCTGGCGTCTGCCCACTGGAGGTCATGCCATCTTGGAGTCTCCTAGGGATGTGGACAGATGCCAGGCACCTACACACCTGGCCAAGGCAAGCTGGGCAGAGAGAACATTCGGAACTCTTAGAACTCTAGTTCTCAGCCCTGGCTGAACCTGCACATCACGCCCACCCCCCACCCCAGCACCGAGCCTTAAAAATTCCAATGACTGGGAGTTCCCTGGGGGGTCCAGTGGTTAAGGCACAGAGCTTCCACTGCAGGGGGAGAAGTTTGATGGGATCCTGGGATCTAAGATCCTGCAAACCATGTGGTGCGGCCAAAAAAAAAAAAAATGGTTAAAGAACATAAGAGAGGGACTTCCCTGGTGGCACAGTGGTTAAGAATCCACCTGCCAATGCAGGGGACACAGATTCCAGCCCTGATCCGGGAAGATCCCATGTGCCACAGAGCAACTAAGCCCATGTGCCACAACTACTGAGCCCGCACTCTAGAGCCCACGACCCACAACTACTGAGCCCATGAGCCACAACTACTGAAGCTCATGCACCTAGAGCCCGGGCTCTGCAACAAGAGAAGCCACCGCAATGAGAAGCCTGCGCACCACAATGAAGAGTAGCCCCCACGCACAGCAACAAAGACCCAAAGCAGCCAAAAATAAATAAATAAATAAATTTATTAAAAAAAAAAAAAAAGAATGTAAGAAAGAGTCACAGATTTAGAAAGATACTTAATTCAGCCTAAAGACAGGATATTGAACTAGGTAACATCTAGAACTCTCTCACATGCTTCCTTCCACGATACCTATATCTGTGTCTATATCTGCATATCTATCTATATCTTTATATATAGATAAATAAAGATATGCTTTGGGGAGGGTATCTGGACATACTGCTTTTAAATGTACTCTAGAAAAATTTTAAATCTAAGAATATCCAGGAATCTTTAATAAAAGAAGGGTAAGGAGAGACAATAGAGCTATCAGATATTAAAGCATATTAAGTAGTGATAAGAATTTTTTAATGTGATTAGTTTATCAATAAATGAGATAGATTTAAAATTAGTGGAATAGAAAACTCACAAATGTATTTGTGAAGGTAGTTTTTGACAAGCATGGAATTTCAAATCGTGATGAAAAGACTTTTTCAATAGCGTTAAGATTTGGGGAATTCATGCGGAAGGTTAAAAAAAGGCGTCTAGCATCTGAAGCCCAGGGGAGGAGGGGGGAGAGGCAGCTGAGGAAGGGGAGCTGAGAAGGATCCTGGAAGTGGGGTGAATCCAGGGAGGGGTGTTGCCTGTGGCTACAAACACAGCTGATGTGGATTACAAGTGAGGACAGTTGGACGAGGGGCCCAGAGGAAAAGATCCTGTTTATCAAAGGCCCAAGAGGGAAATGGCTGAGGCTGGGACGGAGAAGCCACGGAAGGGAGGTCTAGCCAGAGAGGACAGTGGGGCCTGAGGGCCCAACAGCAAGAGAGGATGCTGGCCAGTTGGGCAGCCACAGGGCTTGGTTCCGGGCACGGCTGTGAGAAAGCCTGCAGCTTCCCTGTGTCCAAGTCCTCACACTATGGTAAAGGAGTCTGAATGGCTGACTGGGTGTGTGTGGGCCTAAGGAGAACCCCAAGGAGGGTGCTGGAAGGATCAGGAGCCAGGACAGACTATAGGCCCCCAAAGACCCCTTTCCCTTCCTTCTCCATGGAACCTTGGGCTGTGGCCATGGTAGGCTCTGGACACGCTCATCACGTCTCCTCACAACTTAGTCTCCTTGGGAACTTCCTCTCAGAGCCACTGGAGTGGGGTAGGGATGGGGCAAGGGAGGGGGCCCATCCTGGTTGTCCTGAGGCAGGAGACAGCAGGTGCCCAGGGGGGCTGATCTGGGCGTTTCCATCTTGGATGGGGTCCCGGGAGGATCTCTGGGGCAGGTGGTCTCTGGAATGTCCATGCCCACAGGCAGCCTGGACACAGTGGCCAACTGGGGAGCCAGCTGTTCAGTCTGTCCGCTGCCAGGCCAGGCCTGTGCAGTCCCCTCCCTCCCCTGGGTCCACAAAGTCCTTTTTGTTTACGGGGCAGGGGTGGACGTTCAGCCATGAAGAAATGGGTGAACTGAGCTCTGCTGAAAGCAGCAATAACATCTCCTTCTCTAGGGGAGAGGGGAGCCACGCTTTCTCACTCCCACCTGCCTTAAAGGCTCAGGGTGCAGGCAGCCCCTCAGCCCCCACAGAAGCTGTCCTCCTAAGGAGGCCAGTGGAGGACAAAGATAAGGTAAGGGGGGGTGAGGGGAGCTCCCAAGAACCACCTTGGAATGGAGCTATTCACTTCAGGGCTATGCAAGGCTCCGCAAAGTAGTAAAATGTATGGCTGCTTCCAGTTGAGAGCACTTCCCACATGGCTGGCGCTTTGCTAAGCCCTTAACTTCCTTCATCCCTTTGAAGACAGGAGAACACAGTGGTCAAGAGCTCGAATACAATCAGACAGCACCGGCTGCTACTCCAGTGAAGCAGGAGTTGTGGGACCTTGGGCAAGTTTCTCAACCTCTCTGAGCCGAAGTTTCCTCATCTCATGCCTCTGACCCCAAACCCCACAGTACTAATCACACAGTCTCCTGGGGCCACCTTCAGCGCCTGGACCCGGCAGCAAGGAGCCAAGAGTATTAAAGAGGAAGATTTATTTTTTTTTGCGGTACGCGGGCCTCTCACCGTTGTGGCCTCTCCCGCCGCAGAGCACAGGCTCCGGACGCACAGGCTCAGTGGCCATGGCCCACGGGCCCAGCCGCTCCGCAGCATGTGGGATCTTCCCGGACCAGGGCACGAACCCGCGTCCCCTGCATCGGCAGGCGGACTCTCAACCACTGCGCCACCAGGGAAGCCCAAAGAGGAAGATTTTTCAGGCCCGGCATCACAATCCCAGACAGAAGCTCCCAGCCAGGGGTAAGCCCTCTGAGGGCCCAGGATCCTGGCCTGAAGGCCCCCCCAGCGCCTTGAACAGGGGAGAGGAGGCTCCTGAGTTAGAAGCAGAACTGGGATGGACCACAGGGCTCGGGACTCCTGGTCCAGCGCTCCCTTCACAGAAGGCCCTCAGGGAATCTGTGCTTTTCCGCATACAGGCCCCAGAAGACTAGTCTTTCCCTCTTGTCTCTACCACCGGAATACCCAGAATAAGTAAAACCATAGAGACAGATGCCGGTTGATGGCTGCCTGGGCAGAAATGGGTATGGCGCTTCCTTGTGGGTTGCTAATGTTTGGAACTAGACGGAGGTGGCAGTTGTACACATTGTGAAGGTACTAAACGCCACTGAATTATTCACTTTAAAATGGTTGATTTTATGTTACGTGAATTTCACCTCAATTGAAAATAAGGGTACCTGGGGAATTCCCTGGCCGTCCAGTGGTCAGGACTCTGCGCTTTCACGGCCAGGGGCGTGGGTTCGATCCCTGGTCGGGGGAACTAAGACCCCGCAAGCCGCTGGGGCACGGCAAAAAAATAAAGAAAGAAAAAAAAGAAAAAAGGGTACCTGTAGATAAGAGATTACAGGAAGAAGAGTGGGCAAGTGCCAAAGGGGGAAGGGAAGGAGAGCCTGATGTGAGGGAGGAAGGAGGACGTCCTTGCAGAAACAGGGGAGTTGGAGGTGGGGGAAAGGCTTGAGGGGGGCGGTTTCCTAGGCTGCAGGGGAGGGTGGCCTGGAGGATGCAGCTGGTTGAGGAAGCAGAGTTTGATCCCGTGAACTTGGGAGCCCCTGCCCTTTAGAGAAAGGAGGGAGAACCAGGAGGGGGAGCGGGGCAGGCGCTTTTAGCCTCCGAGCTGTTTGCTTCCTCTCAGACTTTAGACTGGAAGCTCCCGGGGGTGGGGGCAGGGACCTCATCTTCTTAGCTGCTTTTAATTTTCAGAGCAGAGCATCATCGAGGTAGGCAGTTCCTTTAGAAACCCTGGCACCAATGGAATGAAATCGAACACATTAAGCAGCAGGAAGATCACCCACCACCCTCCCACAGCGGAGACGTGAGGACGGCACTGAGCTGCGTGTGGGTGCCATCTCCGGGCAGCAGGGGGGCTGCCGAGACCTCCCAGGGCTGAGGGGCCACCTGTCACCCCCTTGCAGGCCCCAGAGCCCCCAGAGGACAGCACCCACCGGGGGTCTGGGATGGGGGGGGAAGGGATTGGCTGAGCACCGTGGGCTCCTTTGTCAGACCCAGGAAGGAGAGAGGGGGCAGCTACAGGAAGTAAGGGGGGGAGAGGTGCTCCCTCCGGAATCTCTCCAGCCACTTCCCTCCCCTCCGGCTCCCACAGCTCCTGCACATGCTCAGTGTGCCCTCGAATTGGGTTGGCTGGGGGAGGGCTTTGACTGGCATCCCCACTTAAAGGGCCAGTGCCATCCTTGCCCGCGCCCAACGGGGTGCAATGGGAACTGGCCACCCTCTTCACACATACTGAACTACTTCACCTCAGACCCCCTTCCCCACGTCCTGGCAGCTCCTCCCGCTGCCTCAGCTGCTCTGTGCACCCCATCACCTCTCATTCCCTGACCCCACTGCAGGCAGGGGCTGTCCACTGTACACAGGGGTGTCCACCTGGGGTGGGGAAGAAAGGAGGATCCCAGACCAGGGTACGAAATCCCTCCTGGGAACTACCTACCTCTCTGGGCCTCCCTCCCCCGGCCCAGCTGACCGAGATGGTCCTGGAAAGCAAATGGCCGTGAGGGAATGAGGCACTGAGCATCTGCTCTGGAAGGCCTGGGGAGAAAAGCGGAGTGTGTCTAAGCCCGGCTTCCCCAGGAGATAGGGTGGTGAAGGCTGTAAACTGGAGCTTCCCACTGAGGTGGGGTCCCAGGACCAGGCAGCTCGAGAGGGAAAAGCAAAAAGAACCCGCATCTGGCCACCGGGGCTGAGCTGGCCCTCCCCAGTGCCGAGCCCCGAGCCACGCCAGCTCTACCCTAAGTTCTGGGCACTGAGGTCAGGGACCCAGGTGGGGGGAAGGAGGTGACACTGACTCGTCACTGATCCCTCTCAGCCCCTCCCGACACTCTCCCATCCCACACCCTTCTCTGGTTTTGTTTTTGTTTTGCTCCTCTGTTTTCTTGCCCCATCCTGGGCCCCACCAGCCTTGGGAAAATTAACCCACCTCAGTGTGACCCTGACCCAGAGCCCTTCAGCCATTGTGTGTGTGTGTGTGTGTGTCTGTCTGTTGGGGGTTGCAGCAGCTTTCCTCTTTCCAGGCTCCTCAGCTCCTTGACCAAGAAAGGCCAAGCTCCTCACCTTTCCCCTCCCCCGTGTGCAGCTCCTGCCTGCTCAGGGATACACCTCCAGCACCCTCTCCCTCGACACTGCACCCACACCCCTCCCCCACACTCCAGCAGCCCTCTGGAATCTTCTCTCCCCTCCTAGTTACTTTTACACACACACACACACACACACACACACACACACACACAGGCCTCCGGGTAAACAACCTTGTCCTGGCCCTGGCCCTCCCCTCTCCCTCCAGCTCCACACTGAGGAATGCAGCAGCTGGGAGGCTGCCTGCACCCTGCCCAGGGGCCTTCAGGTCCCTGGCTAGCACCCCACAGGGGAAGGCCGGCCTAAGGCCAGCTTTCCTGGAATCCAAACGCCGCTTCCTCTCTGAGCCTTGGGTTTTCCATCTGCAAAGTGGGGACAATCATTCCTCTAGCCCTTCCTGACAGAGGTGTGTGGGATCAAAGGGGAGGGGGCTAGGACTCCCAGCCAGGGTTGGGTGGGGGGAGACCCCAAAGATGGGAGATTTTGCTCTCTTAAAACCCATCCTTTCCTAGGATCCGTTCTGGCCTTACTTCGCTGTAGAAGACGCTGGAGAGGTCTGGGTGTGACAGGGCAGAAAGTTGTCCTGGCAACACACAGGATTTTTCAACATTTCCATCCCAGCAGCTCCCAGGCCTGAGCCCTTCTCTCGCCCAATGTGGCCTGTCAAGATGAGCTCTCCTGGAACGGAGGTTAGGCTGGGCCCGCCAGGCCTCTGCCCCTCCCTGTGCACGGTGGCAGAGCCAATACAGGCTCACTGGTGAGTTGACTAACTTCCCCTCCACCACCGCAGCCTGACACTCTGCAGCACAAGAACAAGAGACAAGGTGTCTGGGGAGAGGTGGGTCTGTGTGTGAGGGGCGTGTGAGCTCGCTTCAGAGCCCAAGACTGCTGGTGGGTTGGTGGAATATCCGGGCTGACTCAGCTCTCTATCAGACAGACAGGTGAGGGGCTCACCTCAGAGGGAATTAACCACACAGGTGATTAGGCTAAAAGCAGCAGGATGGCACCTCGAAAGCCAAGCCTCCGGCTCTGCTAAGGATCGATCCCCTGTCCAACCAGCCTTGGGCTTATTTTCCATCAGGAGAAAAGTCCCCTTGAGCGCTTACTTGTAAGTGCTCTTCTAGGAGGTCAGGGGGCAAACCTAACCTCCTGCCCAACCCCCAGCTGGGTGATGGGGGGCGGGGGGGGGAGGCTGTCAAGCACAGAGAGACACAAGGCACCCAGACCTTGTCCAGCCCAGCCCTCTACACTGTGGGGAGGACAGGGAAAATACAGGGAGCCTGGGAACAAACCCTGAAGAAACCCCTGGACTTGGGCCTAGCCCTCCCCCCTCCCGGGGAAGTTCCCAGGTCCTCACAGCAATCTTGCATCTTAAGTCAGGCTCTGGCTGAACCTGGTGACTCCTGACTGAGACCCCTCCCGCCTCTGCCTTCCCCTGTCTAAAACCTTCAGAGCAGTCTGATGGCCCCCAGATACATGGAGCAGATTTCAGGCATTCTGGAGACGCTGAGAAGCCCCCGATGCAGGGGTCTGCTGTCCTCCCAGGCTGGGGGCAGCCCCAGGCCTCTCTGCGATGGAAGTGCTTTGATTCTCAGAGCAGCCCTAGTGAAATCAATGCTAGCCACTCCCATGTGATCTCACCAAAATCATTTAATTCCTTTGTGAAAAATAAGATGACATCAAAGAACAAACTGTGGAAATGACAAGATGGAAGCCGGAACCTAAATTAGCTGTTCTCAGGGGGCGCAGAGGTGCTGAGATCTGCCTCCTTGAGACTCGGCTGGCCTGAGTGTGTACAAAATGGGACCTTCTCCTTGGGTCAGCCTGGATGGGGGGGGCACCCCTAGGTGCCCCGCTCCCCACCACGGCGGCCACCTTCTCGGTTCCACATCTCATTCTCCTGCCGAAGCCGCTGGTTCTCCGTCCGGAGCCTCTCTACCTCGGCGGCCAGCTCCTCCACCTGGCGACAGGGCCGCTGGCTGGTGCACCCCTGCAGCTGCTGCAGCCTCTTCGTCTCCTCCTCGGCCTGTGACAGACGCCTCTCCAGATCCAGGTAGTCGCGCACCAGCTCCTGCTTGCTGCGGCCCTGCAGGCTCTCAGTGTGATAGCGCTCATAGGCCTCGGAGAAATCCCTCTGCTGGAACTCCCCATGAGCTCGGCCCCTCGAGTCGCTGTCCCCGGCCTCACTCTCCCCACTGGAGCCTGGGTGGGAGGCCCCTTGGGGCACATCCAGGTTGGGCTCCTCGGGGTCTCTGTCGTTCATCAGGAACTGGGTGGTATTGTAGGGTGCCACGGGCTGGCCTTTGGCGAACATCTCCTCTCGGACCCGGGAGGCCCGCTGGCTCTGCCTCTCATCCCGCTGTTGCTTCTCGGCCCAGCTCAGCTCCAGGTAGGGCCGCCAGTGCCGCTTGCGCTTTGAAGGCCGCCGGCGGTGCTTCTTCCGTGCCAGTACGGCCTCCACTGAGCAGCGCCCTGGACTCTGGGCCCGGGGACCCCTACCGTTCCAGCCTAGGCCACTGCCGGGAGGATCTTCCTCCTCTGAGTGGCTCTCCATCCGGGGTGTCAGGGGCAGGGAACCTCCAGGGTCATGAGGCTCGGGGGATGTTTTGGGGCTCCCAGGAACACGAGAGGTCTAAAGAGAGAGGAAAAAGGAGGACAGATCTCAGATGGCCCGTCCCATGGTACGATCCTCTGTTCATCCAGCCTGAAGCCAACCTGCCCACACCCAGCTCACTTGGTCCCTCTCTAGCCTCACACCTTCTACAACCATTTGTCTGTTTCTGGGCTTACCTGTCTGCTGTCTGTCCCCCAACCCTCCCCAAGCAAACTCATGGTGAGAGCCAGAATCTTGCCTGTGTATTTCACTCTGTAATTTCAATGCCTGGAACAGCACCTGGCACAGAGCAGACATTCAATAAATACTCTTTGAAATGGGATGGGAAGTGGCTCCTGATGTATTATTGGTTGATCAGAAGCCCAAACGGCACTTGCTCTTCCCTCTTCCTAGAAAGCTTATCTTTCAGACAGAGCTGGTTTCCTTGCAAGTGACCTGTACAGTCCCCCAGAGCCCCCCATTCAGAAAAGCCCCATGCCTTGCTTAATGCTCTGCTGTCATTGTCTTGAACTTCTTAGTAATTTTTGAATTAAGAGCCCTTTGCACTGACCCCACAAATCATGTTGCCAATCCTGCTTCCAGCTACTTGCATAACTGATTCTTTTTCATCCTTCAGGGTTAAGTTCCAATGTCAGCTCTTCAGAGAGGCCCTCCCTGACCACCCTATCTAAGTAGCCCCCATTCCCCTTCCCGGTGACTCCCTGTCATGTGACAGTTAATGTCCCACTAAGCATTTAGCACATTACCATATACCACTTGTCTTTCTCCTAGAAGAATGTGTCCTGTCTGTTCAGCTCACCACTATGTCGCTACGCATGGCCCAAGGTGACTGTTCAATAAATATATGTTAAATGACATAAGCCCAGAAGTGGGGGGGGGGATCCGAAAGATATTGGAACATGACACTCTCGCTTCTGTCATTCTAGGGTGAATGTAGTGTATTTATTCCAGGCACAAGTTGGTATCACTCTTCTACATGAGGGGCAGGAAAGCACTAGGGAGAGGAAGGGCCAATCTCCAGTCTGTAGCCCAGAGAATTCTACACCTTATCTAAGAGGCGGAAAGGATTCTGTCAAGCGTGCGTGTGTTCAGGGCATCTGTTTATCTCTGCCGTGGTGAGGGTGGAAGTACTGAGTCTGGGGGAGGAGAATGAATTGCTGGAAGTTTGTGGTTTGGGGAATTCTAATAATAACCACCACCACTGGCACAGTGTTTTATAATGTTCAACACAGTTCAGAGACATCTGAGCAT